ATTTTATTTTCAAATTTGAATAAAACTTTAATGAAAAGAACCAGGTGTGATGGTGCATGCCTTAAATTCCTAGCACTGGGAAGGTAGAGCCAGGTGGATCTCTGAGTTCTAGGCTAGGACAGCCAGGGCTGCTACACAGAGAAACCCTGTGTTGAACCACCCCTTCATCAGGTGCACGCATACACACACCACAACCACCACCAGCCACAGCTGCAGCAACAACACCACCCAAAAACCAAAACAAACAATTCCCCAAAACTTGAATAAACAGAATAACGACTTAGCTTCGGTATAGGTCATGGCATTTGTAAACACTTTCTGTGTTGTTGCGTTTGGCTTCACAACCTGATATGAAGAGACTAACTAGCTAAATCTGGTGGGGTTTTGAGAGGGGATTTCTGGAAATGCTGTTTTTTTTTCTTTTCATTAACTTATGAATTACTGTAGTCACCAACATAGCTCACATTTCATTCTCAGAAGGCCAGAATAGATAGGAAGAAACTTAAAGGATTTTTAAAATCTTACCAAATAGTTAAATGTTTTAGTCATTTGAAGTGAAACTAGGTTTGGAAATTTGAGCAGCCAGATAACTTGAAACCTAATCATACTTGTGAGTTTGTAAGCTTCCCTGTGTGTCTTACAAGCCAAATTTTGCTGGGAGTAGTGTCTTGGGTGAAGAGAGAGGTGAGAAGAAAGAGGGACTAGAGGAGAGAGAGTGGTGGTAAGGGGGAGGGAGAGAGTTGGGTAGATATTTACAAGTATTAGCAGCTTACACTTTAGAGCATAGGATAGGGTATCAGAAGGAATGCTCACTTGCTTTTAAGGCCCTCAGAGAACTTTATGGATACTTCCTTAGGCAGACATTAATATTGATATGGTCATACATGCTAGTCCTTGGTAATAGCTTCCTTAGGTTCTGCAGAACTGTAGGGTTTCGTTGGTTAGTGATTTTTTACTACAGTGGGCTAGGTGGCACTGTGCTTGTTTTATCTGCTGGCTGAGTACGTTGGGCAGCCTTAGATCGAGAGATTGTTTTCCTTTTCCCCCCTTCCCTCTCCTGTTTTTGTTTTTTTTTGAGATAGGGTTTGCCTGTGTAGACCCACAGATCTGTGTAGTCACCGAGATCACCCTACCTCTTCCTCCTCCTGAAGGCTGGGATTAAAGGTGTGCACTCGTTCTGGGCTGGTTGGGGAACTCTTAATTCTTCTTCTCTGGAGTAGGAATAGTTCTTCATTGTGAGCTGTATTGCATTATTTCATTTGATGTTCATGACACTGTTTGTGAGGTGTAATAAGGAGGCAGATAATAATTTCGTGTGGAATTCAGAGAGTTCCTGTATGTTATCATGAACACTTTAGAGTCTTCATATGCTAAAGTATCCTTAATAAGGGATATAAGATGACCTTGAGGCACTCATGGTTGCAGGTTCACTGTATTCAAGCTGACTTTCTTAGATGTGGACTTGGGTATCATCTGCTCTTTTCAACGTGCCAACTGGGTTAATGGTCTAACGCATCTGTCTCTTTGGCTTTTTGTTGGGCCAATTCCTACCTCCCATCACCTTCTTTTAGAATTGTCAGATATTGCTGGGCGGTGGTGTTGCATGCTTTCAATCTCAGCACTTGAGGCAGAGGCAAACAGATCACTGTGGTCTAAGGCCAGTCTGGTCTACAGAGAAAGTTCTTGGACAGCCAGGGCTACATGTCTCAAAACTAAAAAGAAAAGAAAGGAAGAAAAAAAAAAGAATAGTTAGATTTTAACCTTTTTTAGCCTAGTTTTCGCTTAAAGTGAATTTTGTAAAGTTGTACTGTGATTTGTTGTTGTTTTTTTTTGTTTTTGTTTTTGTTTTTTTTTTTTGGACTGTAATCTCTGGGCTAGGAAGCTGAAGCAGGATTGCCTAGAGCTGGAAATCAGCTTGGGTTACTTACAGAGTTCCAAGCCTAGGCTTACCTGCTCCACAAAAGAAAATGTCTGCTGGCTAGGAATGTTGCTCATCATCAGAGTACACTGAGCGTTTTAACTTTGTGTAGATTGTCAGTAATTCTCCCCCATCCCAAATCCCGCAAATAAGTTAATGCTGGTTGCATTTAAATTTGTAATGATTGAAGTTAAGTCTAGCTGACCCGAAAGTTTGACAACTTAACTTGTTTTTGGCAGTGAGTTGATTTGTCGGGAGGCTGTAGCTTATGTGGTGGATAGAATTACCTCCAGAGGTGTGATTGCTGAATTTAAGTGGCTCTTGGATCTTGATTTTTGTATTAAAGTTGTTACCATCAGCATTGAAGTTGGGTACTTTCATTATTGACTTTGAACAAAAAGTTGAAAGTGTTGCCACTGCTTGTCAGTCAGCAAGCATAACTTTAAAAGCTACTTATTTTCAGTATGAAAGGGTTATAAAACAGTAGAGGAGAGCATGAAAAGGACAGAGCCAATTAATCACTTTTTTTTTTTTTCTAAATCAGTACTGGGATTTAGCTGTTAGAAAGGGGATGAGAAACGTTTCTTTTTTTCCTTTTTCTCTTTCTCTCCTTTTTGTTTCTTGGTTCTTTTTCAGACAGGTTTCTCTTGTGTAACAGCCCTGGCTGTCCTGGAACTAGCTCTGTAGACCAGGCTGGCTTCAAACTCTTGAGATTTGTCTGCATCTGCCTCAAGTGCTGAAGTCCCGGGATTACAAGCATGTGCCACCACTGCTAGGCAAGAAGTCTTTCTAAAAACAAACTCAAGTGTTTGAAATATATACTTTCACATAGTCATGATTGATTAGTTCCTCCACTGTGTAACAAATCCCAGACAGTTTAGAAGGCCATTGTTTAAACCTCATGACTTATAAGGTCTCTTATAAGTAGCAGGCACGATGCCTACCAGGTCTGAAGTTTTGCTCAGCTTTTTGAGAGAAGGATCTTCGAAATTCATGTGGTTGATAACAAGTTCCTGGTCTTCATGGATTCTTAGAATGAGCCCTTCAGTTTCTAGTGAATTGTTGGGTAGAGATCTCTTTGTTACTTGGCAAAGTGAGCCACTCTCAGGTATGGTTCACAGCATAGCAGCTGTCTAAAAGTGAGCATGCTGGGCAGTGGTGGTGGTAGAAGGAAATAGAAGTGGTGCAGGGCACTATAACTTCTGTAACCTCACAGCATCCCATTATAGGTCCTGTTTACAGTACAATGGGGACTAGGTCATTTGGAGTCATCTCTTCTTTCTGCTTACCACAATTGAGTACAGAGAATAGGTTTTATATTAAATGCTAGGTTCTGTGTAGAGATTTTAAAGGGCTTAACTAAGCTTCCTTTTAACTTGCCCAGATTCCCTTGGTACAGGGATGTTTGAGCACCCATTCAACTCACCCTTTCTACTTTGTCTGGCCTCAATCAGCATGCTGCACTCTGTCTGCCCCCCTCTTCTTTCTCTTTATCTCTTGGGAACTTGCCCAGATAGTACCTACTGTTCTCACTGATACTAGCTAACTGATCTTCACCTCACTAATGTATATAGAGCTCTAGTACTGTGGGGGTTACCTCTAGTGTTTGCTTTCTATTTTTAGTAGTAGGAGAACTGGTTGACTCTGAGCTAGGAACAAGCTTTGATTTCATTCCATTGAACCTTGTTGCTTGCATCTGCTACTAATAGGAAGTAGACTCTCTATTTTAATTATTTTTTCATATTTTTTCATTGTTGATTTATTTGTGTTCATATGTGTATATTTGTGAATTTATGTGTGCCATAGTTCGTGTGTGGAGGACAACATACAGAGTTGCTTCTCTTGTAACATATGTGGGTTCCAGGGATTGAACTCAAGTCCTCAGGTTTGAGGCAAGCATCTTTACCCTCTGAGCCATCTCACCAGCCCTAAAAATATCGCTTTCTATATGTACTTGCTGCTTTACATGTTGTGACAGCCTAACAGATAATAGTTAACAACATTTGAATCTCATAAATCCCCTTTGACACCTTGAGCTCAAAGATCGCTGCGTTTAGTTAGTTACCAACTGATAAATCATAGCAAGATTGTTTATAAGTTAAGTCTGGTACTTGTCAAGGCTATTCTTGAGTTTATATAGAGGATTAAGATTGGAAAAAATGGCAGCATAGGACTAGTTTCGATCACTTGCTTTTTCCACCATTTCATGGAGCATAAAATTAATCAACATAGATGTGACTGCTTATGCTTCTTTTTGTTTACAAAAAAGAGTGGTAAATTGGGACTCCCGTTTGGTCTCACCCTCTTCAAACTAAGAATGAGAATTTTTGTCAGACTTGAAGGTAGTAGAAGGCATACAGCTAGTGAGTAAGGAAGTTTTATAGGCTCTTTGGATAGGTCATTTGCAAGGTGAAAAGGAGAAATAAAATGTGAAATCAGGAAATAATTCTTTCCTTTCTTTAAGTTGTTCCTTGTATAGTTAATAATTTTCACTATCTCTTTTGGAATTTGACCATGATTTTGCTTATATCTGATGCCACTGAATACGTTTCCCAAGAAGTTGTTTGGTACTTGCTGATGATGTTTCTGATTGGCACAGCCTCTGAAAAGCAGGTTTGGCCTCAGAAAAAAGAGGAAGAAGGAGGCCGAGGGCAGTTTAATAGTAGCTCCCAGGGCATATCGTACCTTTGCAGTCCAGCGCTTCCTGGCTCCCGCTTAGCTTTGTCTGGATGCCTGTTCCTCCCTCTTCTTTTCCCTCTTTCTCTCAAAACCAATGCCAGTTAACAGATAGATACTCAAAAAGCACCAGTGAAGGATTGATTGATGCTTGTAATTTAACTTTACATCTGTGAGACTGCTTAGCATTTGTACAATTAAACACCACGCCAGAAGTCTTTTTGTTATGTTTTTTCCGTTAGTAAAAGGTGGCAAACTGCTTGGGTTCATGCAGTTACCTATGCCTGTGGAATAGTTTGATGAAACTTTTTGAGGTGGGTTAACATTGTATGGAGAAAGCAGCAGTGAGGCTAGAAAAGCTGGGGTTAATTTTTGTGGACAACTTTGTTTTCTTTATTATGCTCAGGTGTTGCTAATAAGTTGGAAATTTCAACCTGTCCAGGAGGAGAGCAGAACTCTTGGGGTTTCTGGTGCTTTATTTCTAAAAGTCAGCATTCCATTTCTGACATTGCATAAGTCAGCTCTTCAGGTATGCCCTTTTATGCTCAGAAATAGTGATTACATGTTAACTTGGTATCCTGTCTGAGGAATAGCAGTTGAAAAGAAAACATAATTAGAGGAAGTAAGAGTTTATTAAGTTAAAGCCCAAGAATGATGACCGTATTAAGGGCTTTTCCTTTGTAACTGTGACCCCTGTTTCTTTGATTGAAATCACTTTAATGATACTATCAAGTATTAAACCTAACAGAGGTTAAGAAATTTGATTTTCCTTCTGGAAGTAGATGAATGACTTCTTTTTCTAAAGTCTTAGAACAGATAGATGTGGTAGGGAAGTGTTGGTTATTGGATGTTATAGCTTGCATTCTGTACTTCAGGTTCAGAGCTGGGTTCATGCTCTTGCTTTGTGTGGTCAGGCAGTGCATATGCAGACAGTATGCTAACAGTCGTAGGCACATTCCTTTGCAGTTAGAGTCCTCTTAGCAAGCAGTTAACTAACAAGGCGATGTTTCTACCCTTACCTCCTCCTCAGAAATCTTCACATAGACTAAGTGAATGATTCTAGGTAATTAAGATGGATGTCCCCTTGCTTTAGGCCTTTCTGTGTCTTTTACTAAATAAGAACAGTGCTCTGATCACAGCTGTGTAGCCAGAACCCTTCGATTGTGCCCTTCAGGGCCCACGAACATCTTCAGTACCCTTGTCTAAAGAAAGTGTTGACTGCTGTACTTTCATTCTTTATGAATTCTTTAAAAGCATCTATTATTTTTAATTTGCAGCAGCTCTTGCCAGGTAAAAAGTTTTGGGAAACAGATGAATCCAGCAAAGATGGACCAAAAGGAATATTCCTGGGTGATCAATGGCGAGACAGTGCCTGGGGAACATCAGGTAATCTAGCTCTAGCGTCTCTACTGTGATTTATGCCTGTCTTAGAGCTCCCTTCCTCAGCACTTGGCAAGTCATGAATTTCACATCAGTGGCAAAAGCACTCCAAGCAAGTGTCCTGTCCAGTAGTAGCTTAGATATTGTAATATATTAAAAATAATTAATGCAAAATCAAATCTTCAATATTTTTTGAAGTTCTAGTCACAGAAGAATGTACTCATTTGAAATGACTGTAAATTTAGCTCTGAGTTTTCACCTTGTGCTGCTATCAGCTTGCCTAGAATTGGAAAATCCAAACCTGTACTTTGAACTTCATGATTCTTCCTCCCCTTGATATTCTGTGCCATATATGGGATAGTAATCTTTAAATGTGCGTGGGGCCAATTGAAATCAACAGGCACAGACATTCTTGTGATAGACTTCCCCTGCAGAGGGCTGGGGAGAGGCAGAAAAAGCAGCAGTAGATAGAAACCATAGCTTCCAGAGAAGAGAAGATAGAAAACCCAGCACTGGACAAGCTGTGTTCAGGGAGTGCAAAATGGAGTCCTCAGAAAGATTTGTTGTTGCCAGTAAGCAACATTAAAGAAATTCTGCAACTTGAAAGAGGTGATCATTGACTTATCAACCTAGCTATGTGAACTGCTGTCCTCCTTTGCTATCCTAGATAGAGGAGGGGTATGGTCTGTGTCCTTAGCTTATGTAGATTACCAGTGCTTATTGAAAGACCTAAGAGGAAAGCTTGGCTCAGCTGACTGTAGCGGGTCTCCTGATTCCCAGACATTGCTTTATCCATGAGACATCACTCATAATTTGTTTGGTCCTCTGGCTGCACTATGTCATACTTGTGTATCTTTTTTGTAGATCATTCAGTTTCCCAGCCAATCATGGTGCAGAGAAGACCTGGTCAGAGTTTCCATGTGAACAGTGAGGTCAATTCTGTACTGTCCCCACGATCGGAGAGTGGGGGACTAGGCGTTAGCATGGTGGAGTATGTGTTGAGCTCATCCCCGGGCGATTCCTGTCTAAGAAAAGGAGGATTTGTAAGTTGGCTTGAGGAACTTGTTCCTATCTCTTTCTTCCCCTTCCCTCAAAGCAAAATGTGCCTTTTGAGTTTCCTAGGTACTCACAGCATTCATTACAGGGTGTTTAACACTTCCATTGTAGCCCAGAGCTCAGCAAGCATTAGCAGGAGAGGTAAACTACATTTCAAAGATGGCAAAGTAATGTTTCTCCCTACTCCAGGGATGGGGCACATTGTTAAGTGAGATAAGAGCTAAAATCAAAGTCTCAGTTACTTGGTCTATGAGAAAACACTCTTCATTACAACCAAATGCAACTTCTTTACAAAGGAAGCAGAAGTTGGGTGTCAGTAGGAGGTACTTGTCTGAGAGGAATGATTGACCACCAACCAAGAACCTTAAAAAGCATTCTTGTTTTGCAGACTAGATTTTAATTTTATGGTGACCTTTCTTGAGCAGCTTTTTGCCTATCCTGTTGAGGGGAGTTTGAAGTTTCTTTTCTTTTCTTTTTTTTTTTTTTAAATCCATTGCCGCTAGCCTCACTTATGCTGGCCAAATAGTAGCTATAGCAGCCTCTGCTTCCTGCCACTTCCTATTAAAGCATTCTTTCTGAAACTTTGTGATTGCTTTCTTAAAACATACTATGTTATCAACTCTATAGATTGAAGAATCTTAAGAAATATATCTACTTGAGTTTTCCTCATTTTGTACTCTCTGGCTGATGTTATATGTTGTAGCTAAGAAGACCACTAGGGACTCTGGCATCTGCCTGTCTTCTTTACCCCATAACTTGCTTGGTTTTGTTCCTTTTCAGTCCTTTTCTTGGCAAGTTTTCATGGCCTAATACTACCTGGTGGCAAATGTTTGAAATACCTTTCGCCCATATTATCATAATTTTGGTTTTATCCATACGTGTATTTCTTTATATGTTGCATTTGTTACCTAGACTCCTTTTCTGTGCTGGTCCTGTTTCCCTCTGTTGCTTAAAACTCTAGAACAGCAGTGGTTGGTGTTTGGTGTTTAGTAGCCTGCTCTGTATGTCAAGTACATTCTTGAGTACTAGCCTTTTCAAAGCTGAACTGAATGTTTCTGGATCTTTTGACTTTGTCCAGACACAGTGACTTATAAATCAGATAGGAAACAGCTTCTGTGTTCCTTCTTAAGGAGCTCTTTGGGGGAGAATAGATCTACACTCATTTTCCTACCTTCTCAAGAGAAGACCGGAGCTCTGTTTTCAATAATACTCACCTCAGTTCCTTCACTCCTTAACCTCTTAAGATTTCTTTGAGAAAGTGCTGCCTTCTAAACACAGCCTGCTGCTTTGAGTTACTTGCTGGAGAGAAATGAGAGCCTTGATAACAATGGCTGTGAATTCTCTGACCAGTTTCTGGTTTGTGAACATTAGCCACAGACACACACCAGATTGCTATGAACTTTGTAAGAGGGAGAAAAAATCACTTGAATTGAAATGTAGATAAAACAGCGGAATGAATTAGTACTAGTGGAATCATTTTTAAGACAGTTTTTATGATTAAACCCCACCTTTGGGTTGTAAAATAGGGTTCCATTTTTAGTTGTTTTGGGAAACTGGTCATTTTTATCTCTGTGGTAGTATTGTGACTAGATGAAATTAGGCCTTAAGCCAGATGATATGATGACTATCTCTCCTCCAATTGAAAACAGTAGTCCCCAGGAGACAGCACTCTTGGCAGTTAGATAATTTCCTAAGCTTTTGAGATGTATACCCAAGATGATAATAACCACAAATTTGTGTTCTCCTCTCTTAGGAGGACGGCTGTGGGGTTAGAACCCTATCTAACACTTTGATTTCTATGCCATCTGTAGATTGATAGAGGAAGACTGGTGGATATCAAGCCACGGTGTTGGCAGGTGCTATATTCAGGCCTGCCGACCAGAGAGCGGCTGGTCAGCATTGGAGTTGCAATTTGCTGTTGTTTTCCGTAACCTGGTTTTACTCTTCTGTTGGTTAGGATGACACCTAGATAAACTATACTCATGGGAAACCTGAATCATTCTCTAATTCTCATGATATGGATACAGCATCTTTCTTAAAAACAAAAGTACTTCAGTATTAAGTTTGGAGAGCAAGGACAGTGGACCACCTTTACCTAGGGGTATTGTCTACAGAACACTTGCCTCCTGGTTAGAGCAGCTAGACAGTTTTGGTCTAGTACTAGCTGTGTGGCCAGTGTCATTTGTTACATAGAGAGTATATAGATGTCACAGCAGGTTTTTCTTAGATGCGAGAGCTGGCAGTCAAGATGTTAACTTTTCAAGTGAAGGTGGCCCAAAAGGAGAGCATTATTAACTGTGCAGTAGTTTTCCAATTTCATGAGATTTCCTCATCACAGCTTGAATAAAAGAATTTAGCTCTTTGTCTTCCTTTCCTTGTGCTTCCTTGAATTGATTTTGGTGCTGTAAATATTCTTAATAGTTTTTGTTTCTGAGATAAGGAACACTTTTAGGAGGTGGGGCATGGTGGTTCACACTAGAGAGAAGCCAAAGTATCCTGTGAGTTTGAGGCCAGCCTGGTCTACATAGTGAGTTCCAGGCCAGTCAGGGCTACATGGAACCTGCTACAAACAAACTACCTAACTTATTTTGAGGTTCAGCAGAAGACTCTGACAGCTACACTGTTATCACACTTACTGTAAATGCTATCTAGCCTGCTGCATGTGTATCCCCCACCTTTTACTGTGGTAGATTTTGGAATGAGAAAAACTTGAATCCATGTGTCAAGTCCCTTTCCTCCTTTTAGCTTTTATTTCTTTTGTTCCTGGAATATGATGTTTCTCTTCCTATTTACTGGGTTCACAAGTAGTTATAAAATCATAGGAAATTTGAAAGTCTATGGGTGACATTGCTTATCTAAGGACTCTGTTGGTCTTCTGATTTTCTTCAAATAGGTTGAACATGATTGCTACCTTGTTTATCCACTGCAAACATTGGATTAGTGACAACTGGTCTAACTTGGGGAGATGTTGGAAGTTCTCCCCATTTGTGTCAAGCTCCTGCTTTCTGACCTGGAGAATGCATACTTCTAGCTGTTCACCTGGGCCACAACAATTTGACTTGGGAGGCTAGTCTATTATAATTGATTTTTGTAAAACTTTGGGTATTGTATTACATATAAAAGTCAGGGTTTGAGTCTCAATTGAATTCTTCATCTGTATAACAGGGATAATTAACATTCAAGGAAGACTCATAATAATGTAACAAAGTATATTGATACTCAAAGTTAGTGTGCATCAATATCATTAGCATCACCGTGGGGCTTAGAATTGCTAGACCCCACCCTAGGCTTCCTGAACCGAAAGCCACATGTCATTTTGGGGACAAGGTGTCACTATGTAACCCAGGCTGGCCTCAAACTCATAGTCTTCCTGCCTTCGTATCCTGAGTGACAGGCTTGCAGAATGTGCTACCATACCTTCATTTTTGATAAGATAATCCCCATCCCAATCCCCACCCCTGTGATTGACATGTGTACTAAAGTTGAGACACTGTTAGAATCTCCTTGGAAGATTACGTCATGGGATAGAGTGCCTTAGGATTCTGGCTAGTTCTGCAACTGAAACCACGTGCTGTAGTCTGCAGTGTCAAACTTAAAAAGCAAACAAAACCAAACTGCTTTTGAGGGTTTTCTAATAAAATCAAACATCATTTTTATGCCTGAAAGTTTTCTTTTTTTCCTCTGGGATATCATGGCAGGTCTTAACTTTCTGCACACCAGGAATTGAGTGCTCAGGATCACGGTGTCTGTGTAGGTTATGCACTTTTTTCAACTTTTGTTCCTTTTAAAATCAGTGAATATTTCAAATGGGTCCATGTCAAACATGAACCATTGTTGTGTCCCTTTTTTAGTGGTGTCTAGCACGATAGTATCTCAGAGTCAATAAAATGTAGTGGATGCTTTTTTTTCATACTAATTTTAGAAAAACAAATTGATTTGTTTTTATTTTTTGAAGAACTGTAATTGTAAGAATTGCCTTATTTAATCCTTGGAACAATCCTTATGGTAGATTAACTTATAGATGAGGAAAATAAGACTCAGAAGCAAAGTCCTGGATTCAAGCTTTCTTTTCATTTCTGTTTTGTGTGGCATGGCATTTGCTCTATGGTGACTTTTGAGCTGGGTTCTCATCAGGTTGTTACAGAAAGGCTAGCAACTGCAAACTTTTACTTATTTTCTTGTTACTGGAAGTCTATACCTACCAGAAAAATTAACTATTGTACTCTGAAAAATTTGGGTTGGGGGCTAGAGAGATGACTCAGCAGTTAAGAGCACTAGCTGCTCTTCGAGAGGACCCGGGTTCAATTCCCAGTACCTTCATGGCAGCTCATGGCTGTCTGTAACTCCAGGTCCAGGGGATCTGACACCCTCACACAGATATACGTACAGGCAAACCCCAAACACTAGTGCATACTAAATAAATAAATAATCAAAAAATGGGGGGCTATTTTTTGACAAACAGGTATGCATAAGACTTCGTTTAGTTAACATCATCTTGTTTGTAGGCATAAAATACTGCTTTTTTGGTACTGATGGAGGAGAGCCTCTGATCTTACCAAATGGCCCTTCCACTATGTGAAGTGTTGTTACAAGAACCTGGAGTGAGAGGATTTCTGGTTTGAGTTCCTTGAGAATAAGAGAGATGTTTACAAGTATCTTCCTTCATCGTTGCCTGGAGGAGGCTAAGCTGGAGTGCACAGGCCACCTATGTGCTTCATGTTTTGTTTTGTTTTAAACCAATATCTGCTTGACTCCTGGTTCTTTGGTAACTAGCAGTGGGTGATGTTCTTCCATTACTGTGTTGCTCTGCTATCTCTCAGCACCTTTTACTTTCCACTCAATGCTTGTGTGCAGTCTACACCACTGGTGGTGGTTTTGAACATTACTGGAACCCAGACTAAGAAAGATCCTGTGATCCTTGCTTGCTTTGTCATTTATTCATGCGTTCATTCAGCTCATAGGGTTTTTGTTTTTGTTTTTAGTATTGTTATGTACTAAACAACAGGACAACAAATCGAGGACACAAACCTTCCTTGTCTTTTTAATTTTTCTGTTGGATCTTAATTATGTTGTTTCTGAAGTGTTGGTACTTAAGGGAGCTTTTAGGAAAAGTTTTCTTAAAAGTGCTGCACGTGGAAGCATTTTCAGATGAAGTGAATGTGTGGATGGACCCCAGGCACCTTTAAATTTTGAGATTATAATCATCAACCAGGACTAAAGAACCACTTTCAAATGGCTGCTCTGGAAGAACCATATCAGTTATGTGCTTGTATTTGGTAGTGTTATATGCATCTGTTCTGCTGTATTTTTGCATGTGTATAAAATGATATTCTTAACCTTCACACATGCACTATTTTTTGCTGTTCATAATGATTTTTAAAACAAGATTACTTCTGTTTTATAGATAAGAAAACTAAGACTCAGATATTAAATGAATAAAGTCCTATGTCCAGTAAATGTTGCAGATAGAACACAGAATAGATTCAGTGTGCCTGTGCCAGTATTATCTGAAAGATCACATAACTGCAAACACTCCACCTTACATATTATTAAGAACCACAAAGATGCCCAAAATGGATACTTTATTCTCCATTTTTATTTTTCCCCTAAATTTATTTTATTTTATGCATATGAGTTACCTACCTACATGTTTATCTGTACAACATGCGCACGCAAATATCCCTGGAGGCCAGAAAAGGATGTCGATCCCTAGGAACTGTTTTGACCTGCCATACAGCTGCTAGGATTGAACCCTACCCATCTTTCTAGCTCTACTTTTCTGTTAGGCTTTTCACAAGCTGTTTCTTTCCTTCTTCCCTTCTTCCCTCCTTTCATATATATATAGATACACACATAAACACACACACACACACACACACACACCAGTGTCCAATAGTACACAGGCTAGCCTATAACCCTTTTAGCCCAAGTGCCTCTGTATTCATGGTAATCCTCACCTGAGTGCTGGGATCACAAGTTTGACTCCCCTGCCCTGCTGGCCCCTCACATTTCTAAGAGACCTTTTTGTAATTATTTGAGGCAGGGTCTTTTACTGTGGCCCTAGATAGTGGCTGGTAACTTAATGCTTCTGCCTCCTAAGTGCTAGGACTACAAGAAAAACCATTTTTATGATCTGGAACCCAGTACTGTCTTTAGGTAGCAGCTTGTTTCTCACTATGATCTTGACATAAGGCAGATTTGATTGTCTGCTATTTTTGTTGTGTGTCATTGTTTATTCAATGAATTTTTTTATTTTTAAGTGGATTTGTGCATATATGTTTATTGGTTTATACACAAACAAGTACTGAAATTTTAAACGTTCTCCACAGTTTCTACAAGTGGAGATTCATCATGAAAAATCAACAGGTAGGAACATATCTCAGATCCCTGACTGTCCAGTAGAAAGAGTTGCCAATGCTTTGCCAAAGATTTGATGTTTTAATAGGGAAAGAAAGTCAGACAGCAAATTGTAGGAATGGATTTTTCAGGATTGGTGAAAATTAGCCGTCCTTATGAAATTAATAATGAAGTTTTGTTATTGACTGTGTTTTCAGTATAGACCAGTGAGCAAATAGATTGAGCAGGTTTGCAGGAATTCCTTGTGAAGGTCCCCAAGGAATATTCAAACGTGAGCTGCCCACTGAAGCTGCCTCTGCTTGCTGTGTAGGACCTTCCTACTGCTTCCTTCTTCTAGTCCTGTGCAGTTTTATGGACTTTTGAACTCCTTGGGAGTTACTGGAACTGAACAGTTTTTCTTGAGCCATAGATTTGATTTATAGGCTTGTAGAGATTCTTCATGTAATACTAACTGGCCATTGACAGTAATAATTTCTTTTTGCCATTGCAACAATATTCTCACCATCTAGACTGGTTTAATGATGATAAAGACAAGATCAAGTTTCTTATTTTTGGCAGTTTGGTTTCACAGGAGATTTTCACCCTCACCATTAAAATACTTCTGGGTCATTTATTGAGCTTCTGCTAGATAGCGTATTCATTTTCATAGCTGTAGCTACAAAAATGAAAACTTTACTTCCTTCTCTTTGCATTGTGTAGGTTGGTGCTGATTGGTGCTGATTCTGGTTATCATGCAAGCTCTGTTGGCCTTCAGAGCCTTGTCTTCCCATATCTGTGTTTGAAGTTTCAGGATATTCCTTCAATTCTTCTGTGTGCCCTAACTGTGTATTGTAGAGGTACAATCTTCAAGGCACATCCCACTGTGGCTCTTGTTGTGCTTCACTGTCTGGATGCCACTAGAGGCTATGCTGTGTATAATGATCTCATGTACTTCTATTTTCATATTATCTACAAAGGCTTTCTTTTTCTGCATGCATTTGAACTGAGAATGACTTTAAAAGGAAAATCTGCTCTGAAATAGTATCCTACAGGTCTGAGACTGTCAGGCTCTTGCGTTGTTGTTTCTGGCCAGGTGATTTCTTAACTCTTCAGAGAACTTCTGTAGTTTTCTTTGTGCAACTTGTCACCCTTTTCAGTCGGCCTGCTCAGCTAACTGTCTGACTCTGTGCTCCACTGAGTTCTACTGAAGATAACCTGGTGATTGGATGCTTGCTGTACAAGTGTTTGCTTTTTGTCCACTGGGCTTCCTTTGTGCCAGGAACTTTAATTTGAGCCATGTGCACTTGTTTCCTCCATTAAGCAGGAGTCAGTGACGGGAATAGCAAGATTGCTTCTCTCATATTATAAAAGCAAATTAATTAGTGCCCTGCAATGGCAGGGTCTGCAAAGCTTTCTACTATGTCAAGTCCCGAGATAGCTGCTTTCCTTTTGGAAATCAAAACTTTTTTTTTCTTCTCCTATATCCAAGACTTATGCTGGATGCTATTAAGAAGACAAACATTTACATTTCTTTAGAAGGAAGGACTCGAATGTATCTGGTTTCCAATCCATTGCAGTAGGCCCAGTGTTTGAAAGTGTAAAACATTTCAGAAATAAATTCTCTTGTGTAAAATTCCTCACTTATATCATTAAAACTAATTTGCACTGAAATATGTAGGCAATGGAAGATGAGTTTTTAGAGTATACTTCCAAAAAGAAAGATTTATTTTGAAGCATCTTTTTTTTTTTTTTAAAAAAAAAAAACAGTGTTGACTGGACTGGTACACACTTGTAATCTAAGCATTTTAGAAGGCTGAGAGGCAAGAGGGTTGCCAAAAATGCAGGCCAACCTGAGCTTTGTATGTAGTGTGTTCCAAGCTAGCGAAGGACAGCAAGAACCTGACTCAGAAATCAAACAGACAGAGACATAAAACAAAACAAACAGGAAAATCAACAAAATACAATAATTTGTAAGGATTTCATACAACAGGGTGGAACTGGGGTGGTAGTGTAAGAGGCAAGGTATATATCAAGTAGAGACAAGTTGAGTTAGAATAATTTTGGTCCACATTAAGTTTCATGTTTAGAAGTGAAGGAGGGGCTCATATAGGATAGTGAGAAATCATTTTTTTGGGTTTCGTTTTTTTAAACAGGCTTAATTCTTTCCCTAATTGGAGTCATGCTAGACAGATTTGAGAGTAGAGAAGTTGAGAATTCCACAGTTTTAACTGAACTTTGACTAGAATAGGGGATTGGGCAGAAGGGGGAGTATATGGTATGATAAGATGTTCTCAGTTCTGTAACATACCTGTCTGTGTGTCTTCCCTCATTTGGCAAAACATTCTGCAGTGTTCCTGCCTCTGTGTTGTTTGTAAACTAGACTGTAATATCAGAAGTGAGTACAGTCTTGTTTCAGTTAGCATTTAGTGTAGTCTGTGTCCACAGTGGGTGTCCACAATTAGCTGATGATGATTAGTGAAGCTGAAGCTATTTTTTAAACAGGGCCCAAGAGATGCAGACAGTGATGAAAACGACAAAGGTGAAAAGAAGAACAAGGGTACGTTTGATGGAGATAAGCTAGGAGATTTGAAGGAGGAGGGTGATGTGATGGACAAGACCAATGGTTTACCAGTGCAGAATGGGATTGATGCAGACGTCAAAGATTTTAGGTTTGTATATTTTACACTTCTGATTTTGAATTGTGGGCTGTGGGTTCTTTGCTTTTATTTTAGTCTCTTCCTTCCTGTTTCTTTTAAAAAAAATTGGATCTAGAATAGATGATGCCTTAGAGGTGTAAACTAACTGGTAAGGTGGAATTTTCTAAGAGCTGACCATGTTTGATGCTTTGCCCAAATGATAGAATTTGTATTTGTATGGAGCTGGGTTCTCAAGAGTTATTCCACAGAGGAGATTTTAGTAAAATACTTTTGGTGTAGGTGTTTTGGGACTTCCCCCCGAGTTTCACCCGTACCACTATACACTAGCGTCTCCCTCTCACAGTGGAAGAAGAAATAGCTGAGAACATGTGCGCCTTCTCCCATTTCATTTGTGCTCAGCAGCTCCATTCCACATAGGTAGGCCAGGCATCCGTTACTTCAGATTGAAGAAGTAGAAGTTGAGATGCAAAGAGGGTCTCACTATGTAACCCAGGCTGGCTTTGAACTTGGAATCCTCCTGCCTTGGCCTCTTGAGTGCTGGGATTTCAAATGTATACTGCCACACCCAGCAAATGTTTTGTTGCTAGTCATACTTTCCATTGAAAACTCTTGTGCCATCTCTGGTTATGCCTGAGTTGCAGATTTTACCCCTGTAGCAGAACATACACAGTATTATACATTTGTCTTCCACATTTGGCAGCCATTCTTGTTTATATAGACAAGCTATTCGTTATGGTTTGTTAATTTTAAAAAGTATAATTTTTTTTGGTTCAGTGATACATGTACAAATAATGCCAGTCTACCTCTAATGAGTGTTATTTGAATACACATACAAGCATGCATTTCACATCCTCCAAATACCCAGTAGTATAAAAAAATGTATTTTGCATCTTTTGCAGCAAAAGTATTAGTTGCTTATTAAGCCTAATTTTGTTTATATTGAACATACATAGAATTAGAGTCTTTGAAATTTGAGGCAAATGGCAATAAATGCTTATCTGTGTTCTTGGGATGTGCTCAGATAGCTCCACCTCCTTGTAGCACAAGCACCCTGGAACAATGCTTTGTGATATCTGGATGGGGCAGGAGGTGGTTGAAGTGGTGGTGTATGTGAAGGAACATGACAATACTTTTAACTTGGACCAGCTGTGTTCTTTTTTAGAGATGTAGGATTGAATGTAGGCACAGACTGCTCTCCTTTGCCTGTAATGGGTTTGAATGATACAGTCATTTAACACAGGGCTTTGTTATATCTCAAGTCCCAGTACAGTACTCACTTAATTAAGCTTGTGGCCAAGTAATCACTACTGGTGCCCTCTTTGCTCTTTGCAGTGTCATGACATGGAGTATGCAACTAACTTAGGTTTAGTATTGTCTTTGGAGTAGGATCTTGTGGTCAGCAATGAAGCTTTACACATTTTGAACTGATGCTTCTTCCATTCCTTTGGCAGATGGGTATAGTGTTTAACACTCATAATAAATAGTACATGAAAAACTTTATTATAATCATTCTAAGAATTGGAATTTCATCTCGGAAACAACTTTGGGTGTTTTGCTTTATTTGCAAACAAATTCTTGTGCATACTCCAGTATAATTTTGAAACTTGTACTGAATGCTGGGATCATAGGCATGTGCCACTTTACCTGGCCTAGGAACCAACCTTTCTGGTTTGCTCTGTGTTTAAAGAAGAGCGACTGCTCTGGTGGAGTGTATTTATTTACCTCTGTGTTTGGGGGGACATTTGTTTTCATGACTGCCATGGGAAGTATTGTTTTTAGCTTTCTCTCTTCAATTTAGATTCCATGGTAAAGGTGTTGTCCATTAATAGCAGATGATACAGGTTCAAGAGGTGTCTAGGAGGGAAAGCAAACAATAGGCTCATTCTAGAGGTTTCAACCCTGTAAGCCTTGTCAAAGATCTCTGGTTATTTTGTAGAACTAGTTTTGAAGACTAAACTGGGGGTTTTTGTAGTGTCCCTCCCCGATCAAAATAAGGTTTAATGCCCTTTACTTTCTCTGTTTAGCCGTACCCCTGGTAATTGCCAGAACTCAGCTAATGAAGTGGATCTTCTGGGTCCAAACCAGAATGGTTCTGAGGGCTTAGCCCAGCTGACCAGCACCAATGGTGCCAAGCCTGTGGAGGATTTCTCCAACATGGAGTCCCAGAGTGTCCCCTTGGACCCCATGGAACATGTGGGCATGGAGCCTCTGCAGTTTGATTATTCAGGCACGCAGGTACCTGTGGATTCAGCAGCAGCAACTGTGGGACTTTTTGACTACAATTCTCAACAACAGGTACAGTGTGTGTCTTTGTCATCCTTCTACTTTCTCTCTAACCAGCACATTATGGGGGGTTGGATGGGCAAAGGTGTTATTTTAAAATGCCACCAGTCAGCTACTTTTTATCCTGCAAAGAAGTAAGTTTACAAAGCTTACCTTTCTCCTCAGGAAGCTGGGTCTTAGGCTAACGTTGCTGTGATGAGAGCATCCTGCTCTCCATACATTGTGCTTGGCTCTTGTCTCCCCACCCCTGGGGAATGGAAGAGCATCCTCTCAGATGCCAAGTCACACTTGAAGGATTAATGTTGTTTTATGCTGTTGATGGGTTGTTTTGTGTTTAAAAAAAAAAAAGGGAGAGAGGCTTAAGAGATGGCTCAATGGGCAGGAGTGATTGCTTTGAAAGCAAGGCTATCCCCAAGTCCAAATCTCTAGCAGTCCTGTAAAATGTGGACACAGCTGTGCATGCCTGTAACCCCTAGTATTAGATTAACCAACCTGACAGACTAGCAAAAACAGTAAGCTTCAGATTCAATGTGAGACCCTGTCTCAGAAAATAAAGTGGTTAAAAAAAAGGTGGATAGCAATGAAGGAAGACTTTTAGTGTCCTTCCCTAGTATTATTCACATGTACACAGAGAGGCACATGTTCCCATTTCTCAAGTGTGCATGCACTCTTCCTTCTGGAAAAGGGAGATATATAAGATAGTGATCTCTCTTGTCCATTACCTCTGTATAATAAACCCATTATAGATATAATGTGTTATAGAGTCTATAACACACATAATAGATACCTTTCAGAATGATTGAGCATGTAAAATGGTTTGTAAGGTCTATAATTATTATTTGGTGCTGGTGTGTGTGTGTGTGTCTGTGTGTCTGTGTGTCTGTCTGTGTGTCTGTCTGTCTGTCTGTCTGTCTGTCTGTCTGTCTGTCAGTCATGAGAGCCAGGAGTGTATGTCATCCATGCATGCACCTATACAGGTCAGAAGATGATGCTGGATGTTTTTGTTTATTGCTCTTTGCCTAATTCCCTGAGATAGGGTCTCTCACTGAGTCTGAAACTTAGCGCTTTGCCTAGTAAAGCTCCAGTTGTCTCATTCTACCCTCCACTCTTTAATGTGCCCCTACTCTCAGTGCCAGAGTTACTATGCTAGCCATGCCCATTGTTTTCTGCACATTGTTTGAATCCAAACTCACACTTGTACAGTAAGTGCTCTGAGCAATCTCCCTGGCTTAACTCTCTTATGTTTACAAGATTCTAGAAAATTTATTTGTGAGTTTATAGGGTTTTTTTTAATGGCCTTTATCTTCTGGTCTCAGCCTCTTTTTTTTTTAATTTTAATTTTTTGTTTTATGTTTTGTGATCATGCATGCCTGTGTACTATGTGGTGCAGTATCCAAAAGAGGAAAGAAGAAACTGGAGTTACAGATGTTTGTGGGTGCTGAAATTGAACCTGGATGGAATCATTGCTCTTTAACACCGAGTCACCTCTTCAGTCCTTTGTCAGCCTCTTTGGTAGTACCGATCACAGGTGTGATGAGCCTCTATGTCCCCAAAACTATGCCAGCCATTTTTGAAAGCATAGTAGGCAGGAAAATCAGCTCCCAGTGGGACCAGGCAGCTTCACAATCTACAAACAGTTTGTACTTTTTCTGTTATTTCTTAGTTTTGGAGTGGGATGCAGATACAGATTTTAAGTGGGAGAGACTGCAATCTTTTTGTAGTTTTCGGATTCTTTATTGTCTTTGGAGATGTGCTGTGCTGTGCCTGTGCTTGCTGTCGTTTAACTTACACCAGAGGAATTTTGGTTGGTAGATATGAACTCATCTTAGGGAGTTTACCAAAAGAAATTCCTTTGACGTATGCTGTGGGTATAAATGGTTGTTACGTGTTTGTTTTTTCTGGTACTGGGGGTAGAGCCTGTGCTATACAGATGAATAGGACTGAGCTATACCCCAGTCCACATGAAATTTGCTCAGCAAACTCTTTTTCCATAAAAGGAAAAATATAATTGGACATTGTTCTCTCTGTAGCTCCCAGTAACTATGTCCAGCTCCATAAAAATTATTTGTCTGTTCTTTTTTTATTCCTTCTTTTTATCCAGCTCTTGGTTTTTATATCTATCTGTTCTCTCTCTCTCTCTCTCTCTCTCTCTCTCTCTCTCTCTCTCTCCCTCTCCCTCTCCCTCTCCCTCTCTCTCCCTCTCCTTTTTTGGTCTTTATTGGCTCATTGTTTTCATTTTCTGTTTTAATTGAACCTTTTTTTTTATGCACGAAGAGTTTGTCTCCAGTGTTTTGCTAACAAAAATTTGTTTCTTTCACTTAACTGTTCTTTGTTTCATGGATAGTCAAGGAGTTATTGTCTTTTGGTTTAATAGTCTATCGTTTCATTTTATCAGGAGTTTGGGAACTAACTATAAGGATTTAAACAGAAATGAACTTTTGTGTGTATCAGAAATAACAGTTGTGTAGATGTACAATGCCATGGGTGGCTTTTCCACTGGCTAATTTAAACAGATTTGCACTTTGGAACCTGTTGAGTTAAGGCTTTTCATGGATATCTTAGTTTTTGCAGTAAAAGGGTATTGCTGTGTGCACAGATGTGATGTGGACCTTATTGTTTTATTCCTTGTCTTAGTGTTATTATTGCTGTAATCAAACACTGTGATCAAAAGCAAGTGGGGTAGGAAAATGCAGTCTGTCATTGAAGAAACACAGCGTAGGAATTTGAAGTCAGGAGCTGATGCAAAGACTATAGAGGGGTGTTGCTTGCTGACTTGCTCCTTATGGAGCTTTGCTATAGAACCCAGGACCACCAGGCCAGGGATGGACCCACCCACAAATGGACTCTACCACATCAATCACTAATAAAGAAAATGCTTTACAGCCTGATCTCATGGGAACATATTCTCAATTGAGGTTTTCTGCTCTCACATGACCATAGCTTGTTTCACAGTTGACTAAAACTAGCCTGCTCATACCCAATTACAGTTTCTTCCCCATTCATGCCTATGAGACGCTCAACTCCTGAGCTGTATTGCCAACCTCAAATTAACTGGTTTTGTTTTGATTTGTTTTTTTTTTTTTTTAAGTAGATTATTTTTTAAGAACTTTTGCCCTGGACACCCACATAACATCTGGTAGTCATTATTCTAAGATTTGCAAGCTCTTTCCAACCTCAGAGAAGCCATAATTGTTACGGCAATTGTTAGGTATTACCTTCCTCATCACTCTAACCTTATATACTTTTCTGCTACTGTGATAAAACACCATGACCAAGACAGTTGAGAAAAGAAAAGGGGGTATCTGAGCTCCTGGTTTCAGAGGAATGAGAATCTGTTATTGCAAAGAGATGTGACAGCAAGTGGCAGGCATGGCTGCAGGAACCTGAGGCTCACATCTTTTACTATAAACACAAAAGAGAATTAACCACATCACATTTTTATTTTCTTCCTCCAAGGGTCAGCTGGGTCACTCATTTGTTTCTAAGTCTTCATCTCCTGTGAACTCCATTGTATAAGGTGGCTCATTTAAGAGCTAAGAGCATGGCAATTCTTATAAAGGAAAACACTTAATTGGGGATGGCTTAGAGTTTCAGTGGTATAGTTTATTATCCTCTTGGCAGGAAGACATGGTGTTAGAGAAGGAGCTGAGAGTTCTATATCTTGATTCACAGGCAGTAGGAAGGAACTATGTGTCACTCTGGGCATTACTTGAGCATATCAGACCTCAAAGTCCACCCCCTTGGTGACACACTTCCTCTAACAAGACCGCACCTCCTCCAACAAAATCGCACCTCCTAATAGTGCCACTCCTTTTGGGCCAACCATTCAAACATGAGTCTGTGGGGGCTATATTTATTCAAACCACCACAAAGTGGCTTACAACTGTCTGCTGGTACCACCACCACCACCACCACCACCACCACCACCACTGAGTTCTACTGTGTACCTTTGACTGTAGACGAGGCAGGCCTCATTCTGTCTGTCTGAGATTGCTGGGATTAAAAGTGTATTATTTATTGCCCTTGTGACCTCAATAATAGGTGTGCTTATATACACGTGTGTGTACTTAAAATAACACTTTAATATAACAAAAAGAGATGAGAACTTTGATGTTTACACCATAGAACCTTACTGGGAGGAAGAGTTCTCTTGTCTCCAGAGGAAATAACTTCTGGAAGAACTGCTGGTGAGCTGTTTCTTATTTTTGCAGAAGATAAGAATTGAAAATACTCATGGAGTAAATAGTATAACCAAAGCCTAAAATGTAGATGACCAGAGGTGTGTTCAGCTTGTCTGGTTAATTGGATAGACTGTGAAATAGATACGGTGCTTTTTACTAACAATGACAAGACATTTCTTAGCAGCAATTCTTCTCCTTTCTTTCTTTTATTTTTTTACAGTCAGAGTCTTTATGTTACCTTAATTCACCTGCTTCTATCTTTCAAGCACCGAGAGTGCAGGAGGAATGTCTTAATTTTGTGTATGTAGAAGCAGGTTTAGGCACTCCTGTGTTAAATCAGTCTGTTAGTTAATTGTTGACTCATGAGTCCTTCAGGAACCTTGGGTTCTGCTTGAAATGGAATTGTTTTCAGTTGGTATAAGTGATGTCAGTCAGGGATGGGAGAGATCAGTGATGACCATGGCACTTTTAAAGGGGTTGTTGGGTGTATATTGTATGGGTGACAGAACAGAGATGGGAATGATGGATATACAATCACCAGGATACCTGGAGTACTAACCTAGTGTCGAGTCCAAGACTGCATTGAGAATGAGTTCAGGTCATGGAGGTCTTGCTTGAGCCAGGTGTGTCTCAGAAGATACCCCAAACAACCGAGTGTTTAGCTGGTGATATGTGTGTTTTTGTGTTATCATTGTATATTTTTGCACGTTTTGATTTTTGATTTTGGGTTCTATAAATGAGGAAGAAAGGGTAATCATCCTTTATTTTGATTGATTTGTTTCAACTAGTAGGGCAGTTTTATTTGTTTTAAAGGGGAAATGGCGTGAACAA